ATCAGCCCTGAGCTAACATCCATGCCAATCCTCCTCTTTTTGCTGAGGAAGACTGGCCCTGAGCTAACATCCATTGCCAATCCTCCTCCTTTTTTCCCCCCAAAGCCCCAGCAGATAGTTGTATGTCATAGTTGCACATCTTTCTAGTTGCTGTATGTGGGACGCGGCCTCAGCATGGCCCAAGAAGCAGTGCGTTGATGCGCGCCGGGGATCCGAACCCGGGCCGCCAGTAGCGGAGCTTGGGCACTTAACCGCTAAGCCACGGGGCCGGCCCCGTTTCCTTTCATATCCAGTAATTTTTAAATTTAAAACTGGACATTGTAGGTAATATGTAGTAGTAACTCTGGATTGTTTTTTTCCTCTAGAAATTGCTTTGTTTTTCTGAAAACTATAAAGTTTTCTTGTTCTAGTAGGCAGTTAACTTGCCCGGACTCAAACTGTAAACTCTGTCTCCCACACGGTGTGCAGCAGCTCATGTCTTTTTCAGGTTTTTTGGCTTCTAGCTGCTGCGTTTTCAGCCTGATTCCCTGGGGGTTTCCCCTGTGTCTGTGTAATATAACGGTCACACAAGGATTCGGGCAGTTTATCCTCAGATTTTGGCGCTCATCCTCTTTGTGTTTCCGTTGCTTCTGGAGTTCCTTCTTTAAGTTTCCAGTTGCTCTGCTATCTCCAGGTTTTGCCCTCTGACCCCTAAGGCTGGTAAGACCTGCTTCCTGCTCCCTGTGCTGTGTGCATGCTATATGCTCAGTCAAAGGTGAAGCAGACTTGGAGATTTCACCATTAGCCATTCTGTCTTCTTAGTGTCATCTTTGGTAACATAGGGATAATTTCTAGGATTGATATGAGGATTCAATGAGATAATACAAATAAAGCACAAAACAAATACCCAACAAAATATTATCTTTTCATTTCTATTTTTTTGTTGTTATTGTTTGTTTTGTTGGTGGCAATGTGATGATGATGATTAGGTCCGTAAAATGGGGTATGAGTTAATCTGTGAGTTGGGCAAAGGGAGGAAAAAAGCAGATATTGGTAGTTTGTGATAGGAAACTGTGTGATAGGAAATACAATAAAAGGAAGTAACAGCAACAGCAGGAATTATCATAATTGGTAAGTAGTAAATTATGATTTTTAATTGCAAACGTTAGGACTTTCTGTTTCCAAGTATGTAGATGCAACAACTTTTCATAGATGCAAATTATAAAGATAAAACATCCTTATTTCTTTGCTTACTTTTCCAAATGGGAAGATAACTGGATACATTATGCTTCCAGTTTAGATTAACAATCAGTGCTGCTGTTTTTATAATAAACAAATGTATCAGAGCAGTGGCCTACAAAGTGACTATTTAATAAACCTATTGTGCATCTTTAGTATCTGTAGTCAGATATGGCTATTCATGATTCTGTAAGTTCCACATTGTACATAGAACTGTTTTGTAAACTTTAAAGGCTGTTTTATTATAGTAATTTTTTGTTGTGGTAAAATATGCACAACAATATTTATTATTTTAACAATTCATAAGTGTACAATTCAGTGGCATTAAATACATTCACAATGTTGTGTAACCATCACTACTGTACCCCCAAATTTTTCTTCATCCCCAACATAAACTCCATACTCATTAAATAGTAACTCCCCATCTCCCTTCTCCCAGCCTCTGGTAACCTCTGTTCTACCTTCTGACTCTATGAATTTGAATATTCAAGGTGCCTGATATAAGTGGAATCATACAATATTTATATTTTTGTGTCCGGCTCATTTCACTTAGCATAATGTTTTCAAGGTACATCCATGTTGTAGCATATATCAAAATTGCATTTCTTTTATGGCTGAATAATATCCATTGTAGGTATATACTATAGTAATTTTAAAAGGTTATTTGGATAGCCATTTTCTGGTAAAATATACCAAATTATGGATTTTAGTGGTAACCTTCTTAAAAAAAGCCTGTAAACAGAATAAGTAAAATCTGGGGATTGTTCGGGGGAAACATTTAAATTTTCAGTATTCAATGTAGATCCCATGCAAGTCTTAAATTAAAAAAAAACTATCAAAACAAGCATTTGTGATGAAATTGATGTGTGTTCTTTCTTCTAGATGTTTCTCCCTGACCAAAATACTCTTCTTCTGAAAAGTTCTCTTCTGGTTTTTCTAGATAACTTTTAGGATGTATATTCTTAATAATATTTTCAACTTATTGATTTGTATCATGTTTCTTCTAGCTATGCCCTTGGTGGGTTTTCTTCTAACCATTTTTTGATGTTTCTTTGCAGATAGGAGAAAGAATTCGAGTGATCTTGGACATGGAAGATAAGACTTTAGCTTTTGAACGTGGATATGAGTTCCTGGGGGTTGCCTTTAGAGGACTTCCAAAGGCCTGCTTATATCCAGCAGTTTCTGCTGTATATGGCAACACAGAAGTGACTTTGGTTTACCTTGGAAAACCTTTGGATGGATGACAGTGGCTTTCTTGGGATGAAAGACAGAGTGGAGGAGATACCTACTTGTGGAAAGTAGAATCATGAAGCGACAGTGTCATACATGCATGCCCAAGAAACATCCTGAAAAACACATGAAATTGTTAACTGGAGAAACAGCTTTACAGCCGAGATTATCTTAGTGTTTCCTCTTTCTACTGGGCCAGAAAAATCCTCAGGGTTGCAGTTGGTTGAGTGGGCAGTTGACATATGCATGTTGCAACAGATTTTGTCTCTAAGTTAGCAATGTGTTATTTCCAACTTTTAAGGTGAGATTTTAGAGATGCTATCAAAGGGATAAGATAAGGAAATAGCAAGATTGTTAAGTAGTGTGTTTGTGAAGAAAGACTGATCCTGTTTTACAACTGCCTGTTTTTTCTCCAGACCCTTTTTTCCAGCCAGCTTGACTATTAGAAAAGTATGAAACTGGTTGGATTTTATTTAATATTTTTAATATATTGAGAAGCATGGTCTGCCTGGACTGCACTTCTCTAACAGTGAGGTGTAAAATTGTGCAGCTATTTTAAAAGTTGTATATACAATGTGTGTGTAAAAAAAACTGTATAAAAAAAACACAGGACAAAGGAGTTGCTTTGTTCTAGTTCACTTTCTTAAAAACCACTACATGGTACAAAATTAGAATAACATTTAGGGACAATTGGATAACTACAAAGAAGAGGATTTTAAGAGGAGATGTGTTGTATTGGCTGATTTTGTGTTATATTTGGTTTACAGTTTCCATAGCTATTATAGTCTTTTTTTTTTTTTAATGATCAAAATTGTTGTAAAGATCCCTCAATCTCCTGGCTAACGATGAGGGAAGGCAAATCTATTTCTAATCATACATAGCATAAATCAGTAATAATAATAATGATAAAGTGCATCTTATAGTATCTGGTTGTGTTTTTTGGCCTTCTGAGAAAGTGTCTCATAACAACACAGAACATTGCCATTTGCTCTTATAGGACTCAAATATGAAAGCTGTTAGTTACAGACCTTAGGAAAAGAATTGATTAATGGTCCCTTTATTTTGTAACTTTATAATGCTGCAGATATTATAATTTTTTTTAAATTTCATATTGTTTACATCATGCAACAATCTAAGCCTCAAACTCTTCATTGGGGTTATCAAGGAAATGTTTACTCATGCACCTGGAAACAGTGCCAACCTGAACCCAGGTTAAGAATATGTTCTTAATCTCATTATAGGTAATTGCCCCCATGGGACTTGAAATGAAACACCTTGTGCTGAAAACTTCAGGTTGGCAATATTTTGAAGGTTTCATTGTAGAAGAGCTTAACATTAATTCCTATTCTGAATTTTTGACTTAATAAATATGATTTCACTAATACTCTTTCAAATTAATAATCTAACATACATGAGCTGAGATTTTCTTTTGTTAGAAGAGAAACAAACATCATCTTTCTGTATGAAAGTATAAATTGTATGGTTTCAGATACATCTTTGTGATAAGAATTGACTAAGGCAAGTGGAATCTTTGTGCTTTTTAGGTTATTGCTGTATGTATATTTTGTTTTAAATCTAATAAAATTAGGGACAGCAAGCAGCTGACTAGGGTTCTTGGGTTGCTCCTTGAGAGTTAAGATTATCAGTACTCCTATGAAGCAGGGGATTTCAGTCATGAGCAAAGATTTGTTTTTGCCATCTGACAGGTTTACAAATATTTATTATGTATTTGGTATGTTGCTTAAAGGTGAAATCTGTTAAAGATCCTTTTTGATATCCATGTTAAGAAATCTGAAAACCATGTTTAGTAGTACAGAGTGAAATTATATGTGAAATGTATTAGAGAATATAGCTGCTACAGAAATTGACTTTTCTTGGTATAGAACAACTCAATTTGGCAGTTTAAAATTTAATTAAAGAAGAGAACTAGTTCAGGATGAAGATTGAGCTAGTTAGAAAACTATAAGGTCCTTTAAGCACTTGTTTCTTTTTCAGATTGTGATATAGCCAATTGCAAGAGCTTTGCTGAGAGTTTTGTTCATAACTTCTGTTTTGTCTTATTGGTAAACATTCATTTGTAACAAAGTTTTGAAGGTGCTGAATGGAACACAGAAACACATGGTTATTGCATATTGAACCTAGAATTAAATAATTGCCTAAATATTTAAAAGCCATTCTTATCTCAGAAATTTAAATTTCCTAATATCGCATTTGCAAATTTTATAAAATGGAGGTTCATATTTACCATGAGCATCAGGGGAATGAAGAGCCTTCGTTTATATAACCTGATAAGTTAATTTGTTACTGGAGACCAGTAGTAGCTGTACAGAATATTAAAACGAACAGCTCCAACGTTCACGGAAAAGGAATCTCTTTTTCATTGGTGCTGAGAGAGCATTTAGGTAGAAGACAGTTGCACGTGAAGACTGAGTGTAAATCATCTACACCAGTGGTTCTGAACCTTAGCTGCACTTTGGAGTCTTGTGCGTTTTGAAAAATATTGATGCTTGGGTCCCATACCCTAAGATTCTGATTTTGGTCTGAGATATGACATGACCATAAGGATTTTTTTTTTTAAACTGCCTAGGTGATTTCAATATGCAGCCAAGGTTGAGTTCTAAATTCACCTTAAGTTTTCTCATCTGCAAAATGAAAAAAAAATCCTTGCTCCCTCCCTTCACTACCTCACAAGGATATTGAGGGTATAGGAGAAAATAATGGGAAAGTGCTTGTGTGATGGATTATAAGTGCTATTGAAAGGCAAAGTAGTATTTGTTGTATTTCAGCTGAAACTATGATCAGGAAAAAATGTGTAATTGAGTTTGCTTTGTTAACTTGGGAAACCGGGAGCATTTTCTTTGGTTCTTAACTTTAGTGAAGCATGCAGATGTGTAAGCAAACATTACTATTACTCTTATTCATACTATGGTCTTCTGTCATACTTGAGATAGGCAGTTTTAAATTATCTTGTTTTGCATAGGAAAGAAGAAATATTAAGGGTTAACGTCTGTAATGGTCAATGGCTCATAACTCATTAAAACTTTTCATACAAAGAATTCTGTGGTTAAAATATATCATTTCATAGTTGCCATTATTTGTTCATTGTCTGACTTTTGAATGTTAAGCCATTTATTTCATCTCCTTTCTTCTTATTCATGTAAGTTTAGGTATAGATTTTATAAAGTACCAAAAGCAAATAGGTTTTGCCCAGTTGAATACTTAAAGTTATGGCTCAATTATTAGACATCCTCTGCCTCTTAGATATGATGTGTCCTGGGAAAGAGTTTCGAAAATAACAGAGCCGCAAACCATATAGTAGGTATTATAATTAACTTTTAAGTGCCCAAACTGCTGTTTATATAGACTGTAATATTAATTTTTGATCATTTAAAAAATGAACAGTTTAAAGAGATAGAAACTTAAAGACCTTCTTTTAAAGATTAGTATTGAGACAATTACTTCCCAGAAATCAAGACCACCACAATCAGGACCACTTTGAAGCCTTCCTGGAAGGAACAGTCCATTCCCAACCCAAATACTACCCTCTATAAAGCATTCCTCAATTCCTCTGGCTGAATGTAATCTATTTCTCCTTGAAATTTGCCTATTTTTATATTTTATCTGTACTTAACTCATGCTATATTACTTTATATGTTGTATAAATTTATTTATATTTATTGATTATTTGTTGGTGTTTTATCACTCCTAAACACCTTAGGACAGGATCTCTGATAGATTCATCTTTATGCCCACATCATCTAAGCCCATTAGGTAGGTGCTCACATATTTGCTGATGGAACGGAGAAAGAACTATGTAGGAAGACAAAAGCTCCTCTGAAGTTACAGACCACAGTAACAAAAGATAGATGTGAAAGAAGTTCTTTCTGTGTCCTGTCCAAGTGAAGCACAAAGGAAAGGGATGCAAATCTGAGGCTAATAAGGAAGAAATAATGACTGTGAATGCATTTTAGCCATTCCCCTTTATGCTTAACTATTCATAAACTCTGATTTTTAGTTCTTGGTGTAGATTTCATATTTGTTTAGAATTCTATATTTTAATTTTTTGAAATTCTGTTGTTTTGCTTTAGTTTCTTAATAAAAAGTTAAAACAAATATTAACCTGTGATTACTTACATTTAAAACAAGAAACTTGTTTATACATTAGAAAGAAAAACTGGGATACCTTAGTAGCCAAATGTGATAGAAATTACGTTTAAATGTCATGGCTTTTAATAATGGAATCCACATTTCCCAAGTTTAGAATGGAACGTGGACAGGAAGTAGTAATTCACTAGGATCCTGTCCCCTGTCACCTCCACCCCCAGCTAACAGTTGTTTGATAATGAGGTTGTTTGCCAAGAGTTATGTGAGGCAGGCATGGCTGAACAAATGGCTCCTGTGATCCAAAAACTTAGAATAATCAGTTGATCATGTTGCTAAAAGTTGCTTGATTTATTAATATGTTAAAATTTATACAAAGGATTTAAATTTTCTAAAAGAAAATTAAGTAGGTGTAACATTTCTGTATTTATCTTTTTGTTTAGTGGAATGAGATACCAGGGACAGATTTACCAGTCTGTTGTCCTAATTTCTTTTTTGGATCCTCCCCCAAACCGTTTGCTTTTTATTTAATGTATTCATTAAAATATAGTTGAGAGCAACACGTTCTCTCCTCTTCAGAATATAGTGTGTTGAAAGAAGTAATTTCTCAGGATTTAAGATTTCTCATTAATCAGCTTGTGTATATAGGATTTCATGATGAGTGACTTGAGAAGTAAAAATCACTTGGGGAGTTTTTCTTAAGTCATCCTGTTGACAATCCTTAATTTCTCTTTCTTTTTAAACAAGAAAACATATAAGAAAATGATAGGAAAGTCACGTCCTGTCTACCTAGCCTATGATACGTTACTCAGTAAGTCACGTGGTATTTCTGCTCCATCCTTTCCTCTATAGATAAAATGAGGGATGAAACTGAGTAATGGGAAAGGTTTTGAGGTCCTATCTCCCTTGAGAAAGGGTCGCTGAAATACTTTGTTAAAATGTTAATATCCAAAGTTAGATTAATTAGAGGCATATTGTAATGGGAATAGGCTAGATATCTTTGTTTATTTTAATGTAGCTATCTTGTTCACATTTTCCAACCAACGTTTAAAAGGTCTTTTATTCATCTGTGCCTCTTTGTTGGTCACCTTTACTTTTGAAGGAAAGGATGCTTAAGGTTGGAATGAGAGTAGTAAATGACTTCATTCCCTGCTTTCAACAGGCCAAAGAGTGATACAGTTCATGACTAAGTTGCCCAGAGCAGTAAGGGGCTTGGACGGAACACTACTTGCTGAAAGGCACGTTGGTAGCAGAGACTGGCTATGTTGGGTTTTTGGAGCAGCCAAATGTATCCATTCTTTCAAGCACAGCTTGCAGGAATAATGAACTTCCACATGGAACCAATGGTGACTCCCTAGGTCACTCTAGGTTTTATGTGACCGTAGCTGAAACACGGCTTCTGAAATTATGAAGATCTCCCTGCCCACCCAGGTGCTAGTCACCCACCTAGTAGTTTAGAAAGAATGAAAGAAGCAGAAAAGAAATTCATAATTCATTAAATATTTTTATGTACCTATATGTACCAGACTCTTGCCAGGTCCTAGGGATTTAGAGATGAGAAAACAAAACAAAACAAAGACATGGTGTGTTCTAAAGTTGTTCACAAGCTAGTGAGAAAGCAAATGTGGAAATAGACCACCATGAAACAGTGGAATAATTGCTTTAATGGAGTTATGTATGAGGTCCAGTGTGGCAGAGGAGAGAGGGAGTATTTAACTTAATCTGGAGTGATATTTGAGCTAAGACTCAGCTCTTAGCTAGGTCAGTGAGGATGCATCCACTATTGTAGGCAGATGGAATAGTGTGTATGATGATACAGTCATAAGCAGATCCAGTATGTATGGAAACGGTGCATGCTGTAAGAGTGGTGGGAGAGGATATGAAACAGGGGGATTGGGACCAGATGGTAATTGTGATGCTAAGGAGTTTGGGCTTCATCCTATTTTTCATGAGGAAACCATTCAAAGGTTTTCAAGTGGGGGCATGGCATGATGCATGGTGTTTTTCAATGATTAGCTGCAAAAGGCAGTAATAGAAAGATGGGAGACCAGTCAGGAGGTCTAGGCAGGAAAGGATGAGGACCTAAACTAAAGTGACTGTAAGGATGTAGAGGAAGGATGTATTTAAGAGATATTGTGAAAGATAAAAGGACACTATTTGTGTGTAGAGGATGAAGCACTTTTTTTGATGTGGACATTTGGGAGAATAATAGTAGTCTTTATTAAGATACGGAATTGAACAGGAGGAATAGATTGCAGGAGGAGGCAATAAGTTCAGTTTTGAACATGTTGAATCTGAGGTAAAAATACTCAAAAGGCAGTTGGAACTAATAAGTCTGGAGTTAAGGAGAGAGGAAGCCAACAGGCCACTGAACAGCGAGTGAGAGCTGCCGATGTGTTGCTTTCCTCGTTGGCTCGACCAGCAACACTGGACTCCACAATCCAGTGGGCAGAGTGAGGGGAGGGGAGGCCTGGAGTACGTTGAAAGGACAGCCAACTGCCTCTCTAAGTGGGCTCCACCAAGTAAAGGCTGGTGGGTTTTTTAGAT